TGGAAATTTATGTGATACACTAACCTTCCTAGCAACTACATTAAACATGACCCACGAAAAAGTGGACTGTATTAAAATCCACCTGTTTTATAACTTCACTTGATTATTTTATTAAGGATGATGTTATACATGTATTATTGATATATGTAATATGAGAACTTATTACATATTGTACTACTGATGTTACCTCATACTGAGCTCAACTATCCTAATTTTTCAGCTGCTATAACAGTTTGTGTTTTTTCAGACAACACAGACTATCTTAATTTTGCTCCACGAGGAAATTTAGATTTTTAATAAAACAAATGTTTCTAACCAGCTCAAAATTATACTAGCAGCTGTGAATTACACAATGATTCCTCAACAACTACGAAGTTAGTAGAAAGACATGGAATAGTTATGGGATGCACTTGGGTCTTTGCAGAGCATTTTGGCTTCCTATAATATTGATTAGTTTCAGATGAATTAATATAAGCAAAAAAAAATATTGTCAAAATATAGTTCCATTAACTTTTCACACCACTTCAGCTAATCCTACAAGCTAAAGGCTCACTGCTATTACAAAAGCACTTGTGTCTCTGATATTCTCTTAAGAACAGTAATAATATGCTACATCACGCTGGCTTTGTCTCGTAACAATAACATCCCAAAACTGTAGAAGAGCATATAAATTTGCCCTGGACCCCAGATGGAACAGTCACATACACACAGGTGATTAAACACAATCCATGCTAAAATCCACGTGTCATTCTTATTATATTAATACGACCACAGTATAGACTTAATGCACATAGTATTATATTATTGTGTATTGCATTATTAATGCAACATCATCTTGAGCTAAAGTAAAAAAAGAATCCAGTCATTTCCAGAGAAATTTCACTGGCTTAATCCACAGTAACTGCCACAGCCATTGAGCCTAAAGAGCAAGCTCTCTGGCAACAGTGAAACAAATAACAAAAAGGAAAAAAAAAAAAAAAAAAAAAGCAAGTCAGACTTTGGAGACCACTAGCCCACCAATTGAAACATTTCACTTCCAATTTTAGCTATACTCCCCAAATTTTGCAGGAGGAAAGAACTTTATTTAAAAACAACAAAAATTAGTTTTAATGACTAATCAATCTCTGTATGTCTCCTAAGGTAAGAATTCCCCAGTAATAATTCTGTTTCTCCAAGGTCTTTTACCTACCCACTCTCAGACTGCTGTGCAGTGAAAAGCTAAAAATCTAGCTGCAAAGTGGAGATTTTCAGTGTCTAATTCCAAACAATAATTCATAGTCAGCTTGATTAATTCACATAAATGAGTGTCTTCCTTCAAGGCTCTTCAAGGTTTGCTCATCTTTTCAATTCCTGCTGACAGTCTCTAGAACACCAATAAGACCTTTCTACAGTTAGCCAGTAAAAACTTACACAGCAAGGAAATCAGCGTATTCAGTACACCTAGAAGACTGAGAGACAAGATTTATACCTATAAAGAAACTCCACACTCAGCTAGGCATCCTAGTCAACCAGTAGCTAAAATACTCAATCATGCAACAGAAAGTTCCACAAAGCCCAAAACCCCTTTACTTGACAGAAGACACCTGCCATTTAATATATCAAAAAGCACGTTTTTTTTTTTTTTAAATACTGAACACATATATCCAGATATAAAGTTCCATGATGAGGACCTGTGTAATACCAAAACCAGTTAACCTAATAAGAAAATTATATTATACCCAGGAGGCCTGGCTAGTCTTCAGATTCCAGAGAAGTGATGTTTGCATGCAGCAGATCACAAATGATTACTGTTTTCTTATTTCATTAATCTCATTATTTTGACTACAGCATTACTGGAAGAAAACAAAAGGAGTGCCCTGGCAATTACTCATAAAGAACTCTTATAAATAAGAGACCTTATTCATAGAAATTTGTTACAAATTAAGATTTTTATTATTAAAAGGAATTATTACAACACATTAACTACACAACAATCTCATAAAAGAGAAATATTTCATTGCACTCCTACACACTCAGCTAAAAATAATCCTTAAAGTTTGGGTGGCAACTGAAACCCTCTTGTCAAAAGTTTACATAAACAAACAAAAAAAAAAAGGGCCTTAGAAAAAAAGGTACTACAAATGAGGAAAAAAAGTCTGACGAGTCACATGAACAGTCACATTTTTCACCCCATATAATACAGAAGAAAAATAGGCAGTGCATACTCAGCAGCTGCTACAAAGACTGTCACTTCTTCAGCTAAAATTTTCCTCTGTTCTGTAGTCACTGAAGCAACATATTTGTCATCTAGAAGCCAGCCTCCAGGGAACACAAAAATATTTCTGTATTTCTTAATATGCTTATCTTCAAATTGTTTTCTAGTACAATTATTTACACATTAGGCAAAACATCTAACTTTGGATCAAAACTTTTACTTTGATAAAAATAAAAGATTAAAATCTTGATCTATTAATCTTGATCCAGCCAAATTAAGAGCAAGCCCTGGCATTTTATAGCATTTACATACAAGACCTACTAAATAATGTTATCTCTAAAGCTGTATCTGTCACTTCTGATTGCGATTCACCTTCTTTGATGTAAAATACTGCAAGAGGCTGCTTTTTAATCACAACCGCATGGGAAAAAAACTTGTCTAACCACAAAAACAGCTGAACTCAACCACTCAGACTACCAGCATGTAATTTTGGGCAAAGTCACTCAGGAGGCAATTAATTATTTTTTTGTTGTTGTTAGTATTATTACCCTGTAACAAAAGTATAACACTGGCTGGCCCATCCTAACAAGAATTTTGGATTTTCAAGCATGAACTTGGAAAGATAATTCAAAGTAAGGTATCTATATGCAACATCTGGGGGAGGAAACAAGACAGACAAGGACTTACTCTAGTTACCCATTTCATCTGGAACAAACATAACTGACCCAAACCACGCTACTTCTCTACATTTTCCATTTAATTTTCAAACCTGAATTGGGAAAACGTGATGGTATCCTCATCCCTGCATCAAACAACTTTTATAAATGAACAAATCGTCTTCTAAGACAAAACTTTCACCAAACACCAGCACATTTCAAAGACCAGTTCCATTTCAACCTCGTATCTTTGATAAAAAACTAACTCCCTTTAAAAAGGACAAAATTTAAAGGAAGCCTATACCTGTTATACAAACAACTACAGTAAAAATTAATCTGAATTCTTCAAAAGATAAATTAGATTTTTATCACCTTTCACTTCAGTTCACTTGTGCATTAAGGCTGCTAGCTCATATGTAGCCAAGAAGTTTAGTAACAGCCTAAATGAAGAGTTTCTAGTTCTAGCAGTAATGCTACATACTCAGCTACATGATTAGACACTCTGCAAAGGTAACATACATACGTAGTCCAGCTTGCTTTTAAGCAGAAGGGACTGGACTGACACTACAGATCTTTTTGCAGCTCAAAATAAGTTAGTGTTTCTTCAAGATCAGTTTTAAATCAGCACACTCCAAAAACCCTATACATCTATCTCGAGAGCAATGCTGCAGTCTTCTGGTTGTCAGCTATTTAGACTAAAAGCACCCTTGATCTGCACCTGAAAGGTCACAATGCAATATATCTAACTCCTTACCTGTAAGTCTGTCTTCAACCATTTGGAGTCAAATCTAGCTTGAGCAGCCAGACAAAAAGATTCAGAAGACATGTTTCCTTCTCCAGCCTTCTCTCCAGGCTGGCTGAGCAGCCCAACCTGCCACAGAATGAAAAAAAAATAACAACCTAGCACATGAAATAAGCCACGCAAGGTTATTTTTGTTCAAACTAGCATGGCTTCCACTCGATCTTTAAAAATTTATCATGAGTAAGGACCTCCATTGCTCACATCCCCTGAAATCGCACAGGAAGAGGAACACGCATGAAGAACACTATTTGAACACCCACCCCCCAAAAAATAATCCCTCCACTTCCCTTCCCCCTAACATTCCTGGAAGGAAGCCTCCCTCCTGCTGCACCGAGCTACCTCAGAGGCCTGACGCTGCCCCTCAGACCCATAAGTGGTGCATGAAATAAATAATTGATCGCAGATTACGCAAGCCGCAGGCCGACATAAAGCGATTATCAGGGTCACCCGCACCCCCCCCACCCCCCCCCCCCCCCCCCCCCCCCGCCGCCCGACCCCCTCTCCCCGGAGCATCCCCCCCCCCGCCCTCACTGTTCGTTGTCACCGCCCATTACGGTCCCCAGCCGCGGCTTTAACCCACCCCGGCCGGCCCGGGGGGGAAGCGGGCCGCCGGGACCCCGCGGGGGGGTAACGGGGCCGTTTTGGGGCGGGGGCGCGGCGGGGTGTGAAGGCCCCGCCCGGGCAGGGGTCGCTGCACACGGCACGGGGGCTGCACCGCCCCGCCCCGCCCCTCCCGCGGGGCTCCCTGGCTGCGGGGAAAGGGGGGGGGGGGGGCGCTTCCCCCGCGCCGCCAGACCGAGGCTGAGCGCGCTCGCGACCACCCCCCCACACTGCGGCCAGATCCATCGATTGGGGGGGGGGTGGGGGAATGGACACGACACACGCGACCGTTCCCGCCCTCTGTCTCTCCCCCCCCCCCACACACACACACACCCCCAACCCCTCCGCGCCAGATGGAGGCGTCGGGGCGCGCGCCAGGCTCCCTCACACTCACCGGCCGACGACGGCGACAGCGGCTCCTCGGCCCCTTGCCCCGCCTCGATCCACCGCCGCCCGCTCGGCCCCGGTTAATCCTCGTCCGTCCCTCCTTCCCCCCCCTCCCCCCCCCCTTCTCCCTGCCTCCGCCGGCAGAGCCCCTCGCCGGTCCCTCCCTCCCTCGGTACTGGAGGCAGGGGGGAAACTCGGCCAATTCGCGGCTCAGCCCCCGGGACGCCAGCAAAGCTCCCGGCCAACCAGAGCAGGGGAGGGAGGCGGGACATCCTCTCCTGGTACGGGCCGCAGCGGAGCGGGGAGGGGGGGGGCGCGGAGGGGCTGGGCCGGCCCCGGGGGGGGCCCGAATGAGGCCGGTGGTAACGGGAAACGAAGTCTGCTGTTAGGTAAAAGGCAGACTAATAAACTAATAAAGCGGGCTTGGTGGTTTGTTTTTAAAGACACTTTAGGCGCCGTCTGCGAACTATACCGCTAAGTTCCGTTTCTAAAAATAGAAGCTTTTAAAACATCTCAGGGCGGAAAGGTCAATAAGGAGCGGTTGGGCGGCAAACAAAATGGCAGGATCGGCCTGAAGGAGTCGAGGCTCGAAGCGGGAGAAGGACGGCAGAGCACGGGAACGGCGCTGTGGTGGGTAATCACGCCTCAGCATAAGTTTGTTGGGGGTGACAAAATAGAACAGGAGCTTGAAACTCAACAAAAAATAAAGCTCCTCGCAATATTTGGACACCAGCTCCCCGGCAGCTAAGGAACTAGGAAGGTAGGAGCAAGGGTTTGGCAGACGGGGCCGTGGTTGGCTTTGGCCAACGTGAAGCCACAGACTGAATGTCAATGAAATTCCAACAGAGCTGAGGCCGTTTGCTGGCATTTAGACAAAAGTGCACCACATTTTGTTACTATTATTTAAGAAGCATTGCAATAAAACAGTGAGTTTGATTCTCCTGGGTTCATTCTCAAAGTAACAAGTGCAACCGTGACCTAACTGCTGAGCCTGTTGCTTACCACAGACCTCTCTTGGACCGAGATACAGTGGTCACTTTAAGTAAAACACTGTACAGAATTTATGAAGTGCCTGGAAGTTTATATAAAAAGATAGAAATACCCAGTTTCCTCCCTGAAACTTTAAATACAAACCTTCACAACCAAAAGTATTTTCCTTTGAAAAGTCTGCCCAAATGCCTACACGTCAAAAGCTTTAACATGAGGGGACTGGAAGTTTTATCGTGGATATCACGTTGTGTCTATTCTGACTAGTCCAGGGCTGAGCAAGAGCTAACACACCAGGATGGGAAGTATTTTAGTCCCTACTTACACAGTAGAGTGGAAATAAAATAACACAGGCACAGGGTGCCCAGAGCAGCTGTGGCTGCCCCCTCCCTGGAAGGGTTCAAGGCCAGGTTGGACGGGGCTGGGAGCCCCCTGGGCTGGGGGAAGGGGGCCCTGCCCGGGGCAGGGGGGTTGGAACTGGATGGTCTTTAAGGTCCCTTCCAACCCAAACCATTGGTTCTATAATTCTATCATCATATTCCGAGTAGGAATAAAAAACTGCTTTGCAATGTATGGAGCCCAAACCAGAAGGAATTAGAAAAATTAGTTGAAACCACAGTGCCCACTGTTTGTGCCTACTGCTTGCTTAAGTGATTTGCAAGTCAGATCTGCATGAGATACTTTGCATGTGCAACATGCACTGCCATTTTTTGTTTGGCTCTACAAGCAGAGCATCTTTAGACAATCTGCATTTATTTCAAAGAGTTTTCTTACTTTTATGATAAAACAAATGATAATAGCCACCTTTTGCTGGCACTCTTGATGTGAATAATTTCAAGAATGCATAACTAGTTAACTTGTTAGACTTGAATCACTGACCCAATTAGCAGGTATACACTCACTTCAACAAAAAACATATTTGGGTGCAGTCACCATGGAAATTCAAAGTTAGATATACTTCAGAAGAATTTGTGGATTATTTTGTATTTCCTGATTTAGAGTTCGCTTCTGATGAATAATTTTTGTTTGCATTTGAAATGCACTGTAATAGCATGGTGCCATCTCAAATGGCATTCTCATTTATAAAAATATGTATTCACCAAATTTTCCAGAGAGAAAAGCATGTCTGGTAGAACAACATGAAAAAGTACTTTGATAACATGATTAAAAATAATTCTATTTTTACAAATAATCAGAAAATTTGAATACTCTGGAACCTGAAGTTTGTCTCTATGCACAGTATTTTCAGTATTAAATCTATCAATAACTGTTATTCTGATGCTATTTAAATAACAATGGCATGTTGTTTCACTTCAGACTGACCAAGGTAGTAAAGGTGATGTACAAGCCCAACAGACTTCGGAAGGCAAATTCAAGCCAAAGAGTTGAAGTGTTACCACTCCAAGCCTTGTGCTCCACTCTTCAGATGCATATTTCCATCTTCAAGCAGGGTTATATGGTCTTGAGCTCACTTTTCCAGCCGTCATCCTTTGAGCCCCAGCTTGCTAAAGTAACCTACTTTACACCCAAGGAACTCATTAAGTGTCTCTGATGGCCCTGCCTTAGAGACACCGACATCCTCAGGAGCTGCAGAACAGACCGCTAGTGAGGTGGAAGTAACTTCAGCTCTGCCTTCACTGTAAGTCTGCCAAAACCCTTGCGCACCCTTCTTGCTCCCTCCAGAGAAATGGCTGGGCATGGAAAAATCTAGTTTCCGTGGACAGACGCAGTCAGTCATTTACATGTATCCGCTTCTAGACATATGGTCAAATCATTGTTAATATAGATTAAAGCAAAAATTAAATACACCAGAATGAAAGGCACACTAAAACCAAGGGGTCACATCTTCTGGTCCAATTCTTAGAACAGCTAAAAACAATACAGAATGCTATAAAACCGTCCGGCTCAGGGCAGGAGACCTCTCTTTTGTTGGAAATGTGGAAGGGAAGACATACTAGCTTCCACAAGAGAAAAGGCACTGTAGAGGTGCAGGATGGAGAGGAAAAGAAGGATGGTGGTGCGTGTGGGATCTCTGTAAACCACAAAAGGCTGAAGAGCGTAGGGTTAGTAGCACAAGGAGTACCCTCCCCTAACCTCCGGGCACAGCCAGTTACAAATTTTCATGGTCAGGCAGTGTTGTGGTTTGAGCCTGGTCGGCAGCCAACCACCATGCAGCCACTCTCTCTCCCTTCTCTTCCGGCAATAAGAAGGGACAGAGAGCCAGGCTTGGGGTTTGAGATAGGACTGGGATGGGGAAAAATCCCCCTTTATGGTCACGACCAAGAGGCAGACTCGTTAGGGGAAGAAAAAAGAACATACATTTATTACAGACACAACACATAACAGAGTAGGACAGTGAGAAGCATTCCCACATCTTGAGAACACCTTCCCCCCACCCCTCCCTTCTTCCCGGGCTCAGCTCTGCTCCCGATATCTCTACCTCCTCCCCCAGGGGCGCAGGGGCAGGGAATGGGGGGTGCAGGCAGCGCTGCCACTTCCTTCATCTTCGGTGTGGGGGGGAGCTTCTGGAACTTGTTCCTCCTGCTCCATCGTGGTCCCCCTCTCACAGCAGACAGTCCTCCACAAACTTTCTCCGACTTGAATCCCTCCCACGGGCCGCAGCGTTCCCCACACTGCTCCGTCATGGGTCACTAACTTTCTCTGACTGGATTCCCTCCCACGGCTGCAGCCCTTCCCGAGCTGCTCCAGCGTGGGACTCCCCCGCATGCTGCAATCCTCCCAGCGCTGAATTACAGCAGCGGGGCTGCCTTTTCCCACGAGACCCCGGCCTTCTTCGGGCACAGAACCTTGATCATTCAGGAGGAAGCCACAGGCCATAAATCAGTGTCTGCTCCACCGCAGATCTTCATGGGTGGCAGGGGGGGGCCGCCCTGCCGTCTCCCCACAGGATACAGGGGGGTCTCTGCTCCGGCACACCTCCCCCCTCCTTTCTTCCTCCGTTCCTCCACTGACCTTGGTGTTCACGCAGCTGCAGCAACTCCTCCTCACCAGTCCCACTGCCCGTCACCACGTCCCTTCTTAAATACGTTATCGCAGAGGCGCAGCCGATTGGCTCAGTTTTGGTGCAGAGGTGGAGCTGACGTGGAGCTGGGGGAGCTTCGAGAAGCTTCTCACAGGGGGCCGCCCCTAGAGCCCCCTCCCCTGCCACCAAAAAAACCCCACCACTCACTCAAACCCAGGACAGGCAGGCCTGAGGAGATGGGGAAGAACAGACACTAATTGAATAAAATAAAACTATCACAGTAATCTAAAGCAGAACAGGCAGAAGGAGGATAAGTATCTTTGGACAATCTGGGCAGCACCATATTTATTTCACTTGTGACGATGAGATCATATGTATTGACAACATCAGTCTCAAAAATTGAGGCAATTCGTTTCGCAAGCAACTAAATCCAAAACCTGAAGAGCCAACAAACCAATGGTGAGAATGAGCTTTTTTTAATCAAAAAGGAGCAAAAATAAGCAAGTATATCTTTACATAAAACTAGCATCTAGTCCTAACTGTAAACTTCCTAGGTGTAAGCGTGAAATCTTAAATGTGTGAGCTCCATTCTAGTTGTAACAGTGGTGGAACATGGGGCATTTTTTTCTCTCATTGGTGAATATCAATAATTGTTATGCATGTGCATGGGACACAAAACCATCTCTGTAAGAGCGGTGCCTAACTGTTCACTGCAATACAATGCCTTTTTTGTTTGTCATTTTTTTCAGGAGCCATTTGTGTTGAGCTCTCCCACTGCGTTTGGAAGCCTCTGTGTATTATTATCCACAAAATGCAAAATCCAGTCCACTGTGGGCTTAAAACAAGTCTCAAATAATTTCCTGGCTTACTTCTCAGTGAGTAAGGCTTTCCCAAAGAAAATGAAAAACTTCTACAATTAGCCTTCATTATTTTAATACTCTCTGAACTGAACTGTTGGCCAGAATTTAAGTTTTATACAGTTAAAAGCTCATGATGAGGGCCATTATTTCTTTATTATATTATTTGCAGAGAACGCCATCAGCTCAGACTGGTCGATACATATTATTATGCCACAGCAGTACTTTCTACAGGGGGAAAACAGGACAGTAAGAACATAAAGAGGATTCTCCTCCTTCCCACATGCACTAGTATTTCTAAATGGTAACAATGGCGCTTTTTACTAGCCATTTTTTTTACTGAATAAATGTTATTTACATAAGGAGAGGAATAACCAAAGGAAGCAGCTTCCATGTTCAAAAACCCAAGCCTCTTGCAATCAGTATCCTAACCCTATTTCCTCATGCCTCCTCAGGACAATGAAACAAGATCTTCTGTCTCTCTGCATGGCTTCCTGCTCCTTTCTCACTTTCAGTGGTAACAGCCCTGCTACTTCTCATCTTTTTCTCTAAGATATCTGTTCCAACCTATATCCTTCCCATTCATCCACACTTCCAAAATGATTGCACTCCTACCTTTAATAAGCAGTGATGCATACCTCTTCTAGTTTGGAAACTCTCTTGTTCCTCCGTTAAACAGAATTAGGTTAACCCCCCCTGCCTTTTTTTTTCCCGTGATGTTGAGTGACGAATATTGCTTACACCCAAAATTTCAACAAGTTCTCCTGTGACAATTTTTCCTTGCGAAAAGAGTCGTGTGTGAATCACAGTATATTGTAATGCTGACACAGCTCAGTTGCAGAGGTGGTGTTGGAAAAGCAATTCAGAGTACAGAGAACTGGAAAAAAAAGAGGATGGAGGAACAAAAAGCTGTCATCATAAAGCCACAATTTCCACAGGTAGCCAGTTAGAATCCATTGTTAATTACATTTTGCATAATCCATTATTTTTAAAATTAGAGTGAATCCTGTCCTTGTTAAAGCGAGCAGTAACATTTTCATCGACTTCATTAAGCTCAGAAGTTCAGCCTCACAGACCCTTTCTTTTACTCATCCAACGCCGACCATGCTAGTTTCTAGTCTCCCAGAAAAACACAATCCCAAAAGCTTACTTTCCCGGTTATGTCTTCCATTGCAGAGAAAAAAGGTTGTTTTGCTCCCCTGAGGCCAGCCCCAGTGTTTCTGTCCAGGGAGTCTCTTGCTTTACAGCCCAAACCAGTCTGATCTGATTTCATCCTACATCTCTCAACTCAACAACAGTAATGAATTCTCTGTGGCTGTTCCTGTTATTTCTTTAAATTATCAATCCAAAATAATCACTTCATAAAATATTCAAGATGGATGTTGGTCTCTGCCTTGCAAAGTAGCTTTGGAAATGCCAGCTTGAGTATTTTCACTAGACAGATCTTCAGGAGACTTTGGAAATAAATACTACACAAAGATATCCATTACAGACCTGTTGAAATTAAAAGTATTTGGTATACAGTAAGGGATATATCAGAAATTCAGATGCAAAATGTATGTAATCCGTGTACTGAAGAACAGCAACCTCCATAAGCTGTCTATAATTTTCACATTAAATACAATTAACCTAAAGCCAAGCAGAAAATGTTTGCATTTAAAAGGCCTTTTCAGTTACAGGAATATTCTGTATCAGATTTGCTAATAATACCATCTAAAGATATATTACAGTATTAAGCTACATTTGTAAAACTGTTCACCTACAAATACTAGATTTGCGAAATGATCAAGATATAACTTAAAAGTCCACCCAAACATCAAGGCGATGCTAAGGGTGGTAAAAATCAACATGGCATTACACTGAAAATTGAAATATATCCTCACTATTATACTAACCTTGAGGTCAGATGATTCTGTACTATCACAATGCCATGCAAATATATTATTAGTATTTGAATATTTTCTGTCTGACAGGAGGCTAGTTACCTAGTTAACATTTACGAATTAACCCACTAATGAGCAATGCAACATGCTTCACAAGCACTTAACATGATGGAGGGATGTTCAGTAGGCACTTTGAGCAGCAAGAACATTTCTAATTTTGAGTTTAAGCACATAAACAAGCATGTTGCACTTTTTTTCCCTAAATAATCATGCAAAGCATAGCTCATTGCAGAAGACTTGGAAACAAAATGGAAATGATTTGGCAAAATGAGAAAAGCATTAAATCCATTAGATCTCTGAAATAAAAAAGTCTTTTGCCCTTTAGTTAGGGTAGGTAGATGCAGTGGGAGGAAACTTCACTAGACAGAGTCCTTTAGCCAATAAGCAGATCATGAGAAAAATCTCCTAATACATAAGAAGGAAGCATGATGCTAATTTTAATTCTTTCCATTTAGAAGCTACCAAGTATTGGGTTTCTCCTAATGCCTGGAAGGTGGCCAAAAGCACTTTAGCTTTTATACATTGCTTAGTATATAGGGAAACACTTTATGAATGCTGATAGGAATCTTTTCTCATTTAAGCAGGAAGGGAAGCGGTATTTCTATAAACCATTTGTTAACCTAGAGCCATATGGTATCCTTTCGTACAAAAATGCTTCATAAGGGAAAAAAACTTACCTAAAAAAAAAAAAAAAAAGTTAGAACGAGTTGGGCTTATGCCATGTTTTGTCCTTGTGCAGGGTGTTGGGAGAGGGAAGCATTAGCAGCGGAATAGAAAGGTCAAGGACAGGTTGGTCAAAGCACAAGCCCAGGGATAAGGGTCGGGGCAGGGGGAGGAGGGGGGGAAATCAAGACAAATTGTTAGGTCTCTCCTTAATAGGTAAAATGAATCCCAGCCCAAAACGCCATCAGTCTACTTGACTTATGAATCAGGCAACTGTCCGCTGCTCCCTTTCCACAGAAGCGTAAAAGCGGTTGTGGGGAATCGGTGCTGTGTTTCTCCAGCATGCCCGTTTATAAAGGGAGTGTTCTGCATCGCTTCCGTTTTGCCAATCCCCACTGCACTCACGACAATTTCAGAAACCATTTTATCCTCAAGGCAGAATCACGTGGTATTTCAGACATGAGAATATATCTTGCACCCTTAGAGTTTGGGGAGGGGATGCCAGCAATCTTAGTGATCTAAAATTAAGTTATTAGTTCAAACAGGAAGGAAAACAATCTCCCAGGACAATGTGTGCTTCAGCTTGTTCCGGCGCTAGTCTTCTGTTGATTTTGTGGTATGCTCACTGCAAGCACAATAAACTGTTGCAACCAACAGCATTTGCACCTGTTACCTTTTCTGCTTTCAGTACAAGAGTATTAACACCACTAAGTTCTGTATAGCAGTTGGGGCCATCTTTCAGTGCTTTCTTCAGAGCTGTAGTTTTGTCTCACCTCTCAACCAGATCACAGATTTGTCTCTATGTCATGTCATTTCAACTTACCAGTTACCAATATTTTTGAAAAATCAGTCTGTGAATGTCTTTTTTGTCTTGTTCATCATCCTTTGAAATTAGAGCCTGAGAAATCTCTACTATGAATCTTCTCTTCTATACCAATTTCCAATTACTGTTCCATTTACAGACAGCGTGTGAGCTTTTAACAAACATTTATGAAACCTTTGCTATAAGGTTGACTGATTGCTCCACTCTAATAGGAAGTTGTGATGTTTATTCTGTGGTGCTAAGACCCCAGCTTTCTCACAAAGAAGTCCAGGGTCTTTCTTCTGCAGGATCCCTGCCACTCACCCAGTGGCCCCTAGTCACTGTGTGCACAGTTGGCTCTGTAAACACACACATTTCAAAACACTAAAGGCATGTCCTCCTCCACCACCACCTGGAGACTCTGGTTCCAGCTCCTGCTTCTGTCCCAGATGGACTCTAACATAATATATTTGAGATAGCAGTGTTTTTTTAAAGTTTTTAGCCTTTGTTGCTCATACTATCAGCCTTCTCGATTACTGATGGCTTTTTAAATCCTTTTCAGTTGCTTATTCATTCTCTTTTCTCTTTGATCCTATTATTTATTAACACGGCCTCAAGAGAACCTGAGAAAATCTGAGCTAGCTTTTAAGGTAATATACTACATTTGAAAGCAGAGCCAAAAGGTAAATCTAGTTTTACAGCCAGTCACATTTACAACGAATTAGTTCTGAGGCTGACATCAATTAAGTTGTTTATTAATATGTTATTAATGAATAACATTTCATAGGTAAAAACTTCCCTTTACATTTATGAGTTACCCAAATCATAAAAGCTTCCTTCCTGATTTGAGGACAAACAACTGCAATCCATTGAAAATCTGCAGTTGTACTTACTTCTTGCCCGTGAAATACAACCGCAGACACCAAGTTTGATGTAAATCAGATATAACCGATTTACAGTGGTATAAACTAGATGTAGTTGAAGGGGTGTCACCAGGATTGTACATATAAAATACAAAAATAGCGGAAATAGTCCTCTAGAAACATACTACTTTTTTTGTAATCAGTGACCCTCAATTCTCCTCCCACTTATGGTGTAAAATACATTCAGTATTAATTTTGGCTAGTATTATTGATTCTAAGCTAGCCCTTTGGACTATTAGTGCCAGTGACAAGGGATGGGCACGTCAAATGCAACTCATTCCACCCTAAAGCAGGATGGAGGACTTGCACTCAGAAGTACAGGCATCTCTCCACTCACTACACAAGAAAGAAAGTGAATTGAATTCTACAAGATAATAAGGCTGAAAGAATGGACTTACACTGATAGTGCTGAGAGTAAAATCTTGTCTTGGCTCCTTCAATGATCTTTAAGAAAAATATGCAATACTTTTCTTTATATAAGAAGGAAGGTCACGGGACTTTGATGTCATTTCCAAAATCAATTCTGATAAGAAGTTAACTCCACTCACTCCGGTTATGTTAGTCCTGTTTATGTTATGTTATGTTACGGTTTTTTTATGTTTATGTTATGTTATGTTATATGTTATGTTATGTTATGTTATGTTATGTTATGTTATGTTATGTTATGTTATGTTATGTTATGTTATGTTATGTTATGTTATGTTATGTTATGTTATGTTATGTTATGTTATGTTATGTTATGTTATGTTATGTTATGTTATGTTATGTTATGTTATGTTATGTTATGTTATGTTATGTTATGTTAGAGCTGTCTTACTCCCAGGAAATTACAAACTGGATTCACAGTAAATAATTTTTTCCTTATATCCTGCCTAAATCTACCGTCTTTCAGTTTAAAACCATTACCCCTCATCCCATCCCCACCCCCTGACCCAGAGTCCCCCCCCACCTCCCCTGTCCCCCCTTTAAGCCCTGGGAGGCCACTCTCAGGGTCCCCCCGGAGCCTTCTCTTCTCCAGGCTGAACCCCCCCAACTCTCTCAGCCCGGCCTCCCAGGGGAGCTACCCCAGCCCCCCGAACATCTCCACACACTTTACAGAGCAGAGATAAAACTTGAACTACCATGGAGTGAAGGCAGACTGAATTGGAAAAAAAAGGGAGGAGCTAAAAAGGCCTGCCCATGGAAATGTTGCTGCGCATCAACCAACTCATGCCCTAATTGTTCACTTTTAACAGATTGTCTGGAATGTCAGCAACAACGCAGAGGTAGCATCCTCAGCACTATGTCAATACCCTGCCTGTAAGTACAGTAAGGTAGGAGATGCTGCACATACATGGCTGTATGCTGGCAGATTTTTCGCATACTCAGAAATTAGTGTAAGTTTTAACTATCTTCATTTTGTATGAGCACTTTTTACATTTTGTTTTCGCAACTTTTGCTGTTCTGTAGAAGAGTCGCACACTGTCCTTGCTGTCAATTGGCTTCCCTGACAACGGCCAGTGGAGCCAAAGTTAGTGAACAACTTAGATCTTTGTAAGATCAGCAACAGACCTCCAACTAACGTAACTGTCATAAGTGGCTTCACAGATGATACTTTGAGCGGTGAAAACTACATACGGGCAGAAGTTTTGCAAGCCTGCATTTATACAAGAGTTATCATTTCAGTAGCTAACACATCACCGATTCCTCTGCACATCACGAAGGCTTGCTGACTGCTGACTCTGGTCTAGTGGCATTTTAGTAGCAATGAGGGCACCGATACAGCTTTAATATTTCACTAATACAAAAAGGAAATCATTTTAGTCCCAGTTCTTTTACAGCTGCTTCTCTATTACTAGACTACTTTTTGGTAAATTGGATGTATTTGAGATTACAGTGGTCACAAAGACAGACAATTTGGATAGACTCTAAGTGATGCGTTGCCTCGCTTCCCTGGCATGGAGTGCCTGTTATTAAATCTACGTGACAGTCTTGTTATATTAGTTTAGCTGGAAAGGGCTGCCACAGGGCTAAATTAAGTTAGAGTTTGACCCTTAAAGCATTAAATGTCCATCATGTAACTGCAGTAAAAATCAACATGTCACTAATTTTAGTATGTCTAAAATATTACTACAATGAAATAAAGAATGATAATAATGGAAAAAGTACAAAACAAGTAACTCTGCCAATTAAAATTACTTTGCATGTATTAATTCAGCTCTGCTGCTTAGCTTGTCAGAGCCTTGTTTCAGAACTGTGCTGGTGATACAGAGTAAATATAATTTTGCACTGTAAGACATTTTTGCTTGTTATGCAAATATTAAATTCAAATTTAGCTCTCAGCAGCATCCCATATATGTCCTTGACATACCCAGCCTGGACGTGAAAAGAAATGACAAATGGTGTACAGTTAGTCTCCATTAACAATCCAACTGGTAAATAAAGTAACAAACGATACATTTTTTCACTGATCAATACCATTTATAATGAAAGCATCTTGAAGAGCCATCTTAAGTACTTAACAGAATTCATCCTCTAAGTTAAAGATTCCAACTCTCGAGCAGTCCTGCTTGTCTGTGTTTCACTCAAGACTACTAGAATGCCACACAGACCACACAGGCTTTACTATTTTCATCACTATAATGAGTAGTAATTTGTTGTAGACTTCAGTAATAGTAATATATCAGCCGATTTTTGTTTGAGTTTTGTTAATTTGATGCAATTCTGAGCTAAAATTGTATTCCCAGACTTCTCCTGTTTGTGTTATGAACATTAATGTAAACATCTATTTTGAAATGCATTCAAAAGCCAGTATATTACCAGAGAGCACCAAGGTTAAGAAAAGTACAGAAGAGTGATCCCTGATCATCAGAATGGCACTAAAGTAAAATTGAGTATTAGAACTAAACAGCACAGGCCAAAACTTCTGATGGAAAAGCAGGTTGGTAGCCACCTGCTTGACCATTATCCGCTTGGATGAGATGTTATAGACTCTGCTTTTACAAATCACATAATTCAAACTCAGCAAATATTTTCTGTCCTGCTGTCCTGCTGCATCATGGCTAAGTCCGGAGCAATTTTATTGTTGCATATTTTGAGCAGAACCTCTCATAAATTACTTGGATTGTTAAAAATATTCACCAGGATTTACAGTATACTGCATCAGCAGATGAATGACCTTGAGGACTTTGACAAAAATGAATTAAAAATTTCTGAGTTGCAGCAGCCACATGGCCAAATCTGAGGCCACATCTGGACTGCTAAAAGTTTTAAGCAAACCCTGTAATCTCAGTGTGTAAAATTATTGCGGGAAAAATCTCAGATGATCTCGATGAACTTGAAAAACCCTTCTCCCTTTCTAGAATTGGCTTATTGGAGTATAGGATCAATGCCTGCGAGAAGAACAAGAGATTTATGCAACCATTACATTTGAAACTGCACAACAATTGGGATTAGCAGCTTTGCATATTTTGGAACTCATCCACTTCACCGTACCCAGGACATTGTGGATATCAAGAACAGGAGAGGATGATTTTTGCCCACCCTACCGTTATTGGACAGACAGAAGAAAGATTTTAGGAGCTGCAGCACTGGCTGGGTGCCTTGCAGATAATTAGATTCTTGTTTCCAGTACTCTACCCTTATATTTAGAGGTGAAATTACACTGCATCGATTTGAAAAAAAAATGCACCAAGTAAATATACATTGCAAAAGTCTTGTTAATTTCTAGGATATCTAAGGGAACACTCGTCATGATGAAACCAGGATATTTCTACCATAATCTCAAAGGCATTCCTTAGCTTCTAGCAGGTAGGGAGTCCTAGAACTCCATTTAAGTGGCTGATTCTTTCTCGTACAAGGTCTCCATGCGAAAAGCGCAGCTGAAGCGCTCGCCTTGTGTGTTTTGATTAGAAGGGGTCACAGCCGTAAGAGTCCTGGAATTCAAGCACAGCTGCTTCTACCTCTCTGTCCGAGGCCTGATTGTGGAGTTTAAGGGATGCTGGACCAGCCCAAGCCCTGGCTCAGGGGCCGTGTCGCACAATGCGGCTGAGTCTGTCAAGAGCAAAGACCCAACGGCCTGGAGTGTGGCCAAGGAGCTGAATGAACGCCGCCTGCGAGCAGCCTGGAAGACACACGCTCGGGGTGGGGGGCTGAGCATTCATTCGCCCCGTGGGAGAGGCTCTGGGGGCAGGGGGCTCCTCTGCAGCACAGGCAGAGAGGAGATGCTTGCCAGGATTTCAGGGCAGCCACAATACTGTGAGGTGGGGTCGGGGGACTCGGGTGCTGTAGTCAGGAGGACAGAGCTACTGAAAACGGTGGAGCAGGAAGGAATAACATGAACCAAGAAAGGGCAATGAACTACTGGCCTTAGAACCAGAAAAAACTAACATTTCAGGTTCTAACAGGATATGAATTAAAATACTCCAGTGCGATTAAGGACCAAGAAAAGGCAACTGTGGCTGTGATTACTGTACTACCTGCTTGCATAGGTGAACAAGAAAAGCTGACCAGATACAAGGGTTCTTCTTCACTAAATGTTTTCTCACCAACTCCCACAGTGTTGCATTATTACCTTCCACATCTTAAGCGAATGTATCTTCTACAACTTGCTCATGAATACAGTTGTAGACCTTAATTGCAGAATTATTACGCCATCCAGTCCATTTTTTTTCAGTATAGCATAAGCTGTAAAAATGCATGCTTCTGGGATCAAATACAGGTGGCATAAAATATGTTCCCAGCCTACATGTGAAGTCATCAAGAGGCGAATGTCTACCAGGGGACCAAGTGTATACTCCCTCAGCTCTTGGAGGTTTGGCTGCTTGGGCTCCAGGCTGATCTGTAGGGCAGCAGTCCAACCTTGAATCAGAACTATAAGAAGCCTTGGTGGTGGGCCACCCCTCTTCTCTCAAGAGATGCTTTTAAGATGAGACTCTTGTGCTTGGTCTCTGCCTAAGCTACAGGGCAGCTCCACCCGTGCCTAGCATGTAACAGTGATCCAGACCTTGACTTGTCTTGACTTCCAGGCTTGACCTCAGACCTGATTCATGCTTTGGACTTGTCCGGTGATCTGGATTGTTGGATGAACCTGGTTACACTCACCTTGGTATGGGCCTGCACCCCTTGTCCGTGAGGTCACTGCCCCTACCTGCCCTGCTGTCACACCTCACTCCCTTTCCTTTGCTGGGCAGCTTATGGTTGGAGCTCCCTGGCCAGATTTTCCATGACTTCCCCTGGGAGTTCGCTCCAGCAGGTCATCACTACTGCTAAACAAAACCAAAGAAATACATCCCTTTCTAACTAGTAACTACTCATTCTTGCTTCTTTTCCCACTGAACTGAAGAACATCAATGCCCCCTCACTGTGAACAAGGGATTGTATGTTTTGATCAAATCGCCTTTTGATTGCCTGTTGAGGTATAAACCAAGTTCTTGAAGTTGTTCCCTCTTAGACATTTTCTTTTATCTCTCAATTAAGTTACAAGCTTTTTCTACTTCACTAGCTTTTCAACATGCTTTTAAAACACGAGCAGAGCTACACATCCTATTTCAGTGCTATATACAGTACATCATACAGAGATCGTATTCTGGGTCACATTACCTGTTTCCATAAATCTTTTTTGCTCTAGCATATCAAGATTACACATTCAGGTTCCTGTCCACTAAGGTGCCTAATCCTATTCACAGCAAACTGCTTTCGAGGATATGCTTCCCCTTCCTCTTCTTCCTCAGCTCCCATCCCACCTTCTGCAAGTGGTAATTTGCCTTGTTCTTGGGCCAAATTTGATGAAACCTAGATTACGTGGCAGTGCAGGTTTCTCTGCATGATGAGAGTGGGGCACTCTTCCTGTCCCTGTGCCATCTGCAAGGTTTGTTATCTGTGTGTTGGGCACAGTGCAGAGCCCCACTGGAGCATGTCTATTCAGTGATTCCTCAATGACAGCTGTCTTAGTGTATATTCGTGATCTTGGTATTGTTCAGTTACCCCCAACTATTTAATCTGCTATGCACTTGCCTAATGCTGTACAAAACTAATTTCTGGTCAAAACAGTCTAATGTCTTAAGAAGGCTATGTCTATTAAATATATACAATTACTTTTATCAAATTTGTCAACTCAGTAGAGATGAAGATCTCTTTTGCTTAACAAGGGAGCTTTCCAAATCTCCTTACATCAATCCCTTCTCTTTTAACTCTTTTTTTGGTATAATGCTATATCAGTTTTTCCCACTGTATTACCTAGGATCAATGTCAATCCAAGAAACATAATTATCCAAAAAGGGTAGATGTCTTAAGGCCAGACCAACGTTAACACCCCATCT